AAAGCCCCGCGCGCTGCCAAGCAGTGCAGGGTAGAGACCTCGCTCGCAGACGCAGGTGGCCTGCGGGGAGCCACCCGCGCTGCCCCAGACAAGGCGGCCCTCCCCTTTGGCGGGGGGGGCGGGGAGGGCGACCACGACGCGGAGCATGAGAAGGGCGAGGGGGGAGGGCCGGTGTGAGCCCAAGACGCACCAACGAAGCTGCATTAAACCCTCCCTCCCAGATGCCTCTTCAGAGATCCTTGCAACAGTTTGTTTTCCTTTTGCAATAAGTGACCCATTTGAGACCACCGTCTGAGAGTACCCAACCGTGCCAAGAAACCCTTCCTGGGATTCCAACGCCGCAGATCAACGTGACTGCGGCGTCCTGACAGTCCTAAATCGTGCCAGAACGCCATTCCTGGGACTTCAACACCACGAATGATCGTGACTGTTACGCCCTTGCAATCTTTGACCGTCCTAAATCGGGGCGGAGTGCCATTCCATGGGTGACTACAACGCTTTGAGTCCTTCAAGCTGCTGCGAAGTGTTCAAGTGGACGAACCCAGTTTTGAAAAAGATCGCCCTACATCCGCCAAGCTGCTGCAAATGCTTGCGGCGGACGTGCGCAGTGCCAATACGAGAAAAACATGTTGAAGTCGGCCCGCCCTCTATCAGTGAAGATGGTTGAAACGTTTAAGATAAATCTGGGTGGCGCCAAGATGATAGCCTCACTTTTTAAAAGGACCTGCCCTCCATCCTTGAAAAGAGGTTGTGTGCCTTGAATTTAAATGTGCGCGGCGCTACGGTGAGAAAGACATTTCGAAATCCGCCCGCGTTTCACCCATGAAGCTGCTGCACATGTTTAAGACGAGTCTGCGCGGCGATACGGCGACAGCCACATTTTGAAAAAGGACCCGCCCTTCGTCCTCGAAGCTGTTCCAAGTTTAAAGCTTCAGGGTCACGAGTGGTGAAAAGCTCTCAGGCGAAACGCCCAGCTTGCCCTACCTACTCGCCTTGGGGTGCCGACAGGGAGGAGTATCGGCAAGGAAGAGGAATTGAGTTAGAGGCAGAGGGGGACACGGTTTACGGCCATGAGCGATTGCTTGGCGTGTCGGGCCGCCCGTTTTGGCCCACCACGCTTTGGCGCGTCATGCTGAGCACGCCCCAGCCCCAAATCATCAAACTTACGATTTTGTTCGTAGCCCCCCGTTGCACAAAGCACAGCGGCACACCATCCACGCGATCAGCTTGGAAGGCATAGCTCTTCGCGGAGGCCGCCGCCGCGACACGGCAAGCACAACGTCTTCCCCGTTGAAATCCCCCCCCCTCTTTCTCTTCCCCGCGGCCACGGCCACCCCTGTCCCCCACGGCGTGATCCAGAGGCCACGGCCTCATCCGCCTAGTCCCAGCCAGGCCCAGACGCCTATCCGCGCAGTGGTGATCGTCCGTTCGTGCTTCATCTCCTCCTCCAGCCTCACTCCCCCCCGGGAGATCCGGCGTCGCGACAAAATGCAATGGCGTCGCGACCAGATGTAGCACCGACAAAATCACGATTGGAGCCGTAGAGACTTCAATTTTCCGCAGCCGTTCACGAACCATATCCATCCGCGAGGGTGCCAGAGCAAGATGGTGGGCGAGAGCTCACGTTGTGATTCAACGTGCGACACCCAGATTTCAGGAACCCTCGCTCCTCGGCTGGCCAATGGAGGGAAAGCAGCTCTAAATCCCATCTGTTTCCACCTCTCCCTCATCGCCGTCGTCCTTCTCCTTCCCCCTCTACTGCTTCACGCCTTCAAAGCTGCACGCTGCAAGAGACAAGCTAGTGAAGTTCAGGCTTGCTTCACCGCATTACGTTCTCGTGCCGTTGTGAGGGGATGAGAAAGAACAACAATAAGCCCTGAAGCCCGTAAGCAGAAGCCCGTCAGTGAGAGCTCGTCGTGCGGCTTGGGGAAAAAAGTGGGAAACACGATGAGAGAATGACGCGCTGCGGTTGGCGGCACGTCCGCGTTCTCCTCCGCCGTTCTTGCCCGACGGCCTGACGTTCCTTCCTCACCAGCGCACTGACGGGCCCTCCACGGAGGGCGTCGCCTTCGGCGCACCTTGCCTTTAGCGTCGGACCCCGTTTGCTGTCTGCCTGTTTCTCTCGGCTGTAGGGCGCCCGAGAGGCCCCCCCCCCCCCGGCGCCCCCGCGGCGGAGGACCACCAGCGCGGTCCCCAGCTGCCCCTGCCCCTCGACGTGTGCGACGGCGAGGAGCTGCTGGTGACCTCGCTGTTCGACGAGGACAGTGGTGGATCGGGGCGGGAGGATCAGGGGCCACGCTCGAGGGGGATCGAGCTTCAAGCTCGAGACGTTTAGACAGGTTCGTCGGTTCTCGGCGGCCTTCCAGCCTCGGGATGCATTCAGGCAGTTGCGCTTTGCGGCTTCTCCCCTGCAAGGGCGTTCCAGGGGAGCCAGGCTCGTCCTGAACGGCCGCCGGCGAGCCGAGTTATGATCCTCAAGCTCGGGGCAACATTAGGGGGA